TTAAAAGATACTTACTATGTCTTCTTAAAAGTTTTCCCTTAAGAGTTGTCACTTTGGAGACTGGGGTTATGGCTTAGTGGTAGAGGGCTTGCCTAGCACATGTGAGGCACGGGATTCAATCCTCAGCACCGTATAGAAAAGTAAACTCATAAAATAAAGTTGAAAAAAAAAAGTTGTCACTTTGGGGGCTAGTCGTTAGTAGAGCACTTGCCTAGCATGTGTGAGGCATTGGGTTCGATCCTCAGCACCACATAAAAATAAAAAAAAAAAGGTATCATGTCCGTCTACAATAACAACAAAAAAGAGTTGTCACTTTGGGAGGGTATGAATTACCCTGAGTTATTCTTGACAATCATCTGCAATAAATGAAATGTCTATAATAAATGAAATGTCTGCAGATATTAGCACAAGTTAACTGTGAGTCAGCATTGATAATCTTAGTTTTCAATGTCTTATGTGATAAGACACTTTAACCATTTCAGAGACAAATTTACATATAAGTTTGATAATACCATTCTGAGTTCAAATAGAACAACATGAGTTACTGTAAAGAAATGCCTCTAGTTGATGGAGTGATAGGGAACCATTCTGGAGTCAGGCTGATTGGGCTATTATTCCATTTTCATCAGCTGTGTGCTCGTGCAAGAAACTCATAAAGGAAGCATAACTTATCTCGGAATTGTCAAGATTATATGACAATATGTGTAATCTACCTGTTAAGCATTAAATGCTCAGTATGAGTGTCCTTCTAAGCCAGGCATGGTGGTGCATGTCTATAATCCCAGCGATTTAGGAGGATCACCAATTCAAAGCCGGCTCAGTAATTTAGTGAGGCTGATGAAACTCAGTGAGACCCTGCCTCTAAATAAAATATAAGGGCTAGGATGTGGCTCAGTGGTTAAGTGCCCTGGGGTTCAATTCCTCAGAGTGCCCTTCTAAGCTGGACATTTTCAGAAGGGGAGCTCCACCAAGGCAGACACAGCAGCACTGTGGGGAAAGTGTAGCTCCTTACCAATAGGACCGTGTAAATGCTGTGACATAGTAGAGAATGTAGGCTTTCCTAACTATTACCTTAAAACTCAGGTTGATAAGGACCTTATAGCTTTATTTTTATAGAATAATATATTTTGGGAGATGGTATATATGGTGGCAGAGTGTGGACTCTGCAGACAAGCTGTTTGATTTGAATTTTGCACAAATTCCTGTGTGACCTTAAGCAAGTTACCTAACCTCTTTTGTAAAATAGAGATGTTTGTTTATATTGGTACTGGGGATTGAACCCAGGGATACTTAACCACTGAGTCATATCCCAGCCCTTTTTAGTTTTTATTTTGAGACAGGGTTTCATTAAGTTGATTAGGGACTCGCTGACTAGCTGAGGCTTGCTTTGAAGTTGTGATCCTCCTGCCTCAGCCTCCTGAGTCACTGGGATTACAAGTGTGAGCCACTGTGCCCAGCTAAAATAGAGATCATTATAATACTTTCCTGAATCCACATTCAGGAAAGCATTAGCATACCTTTGTGGTGAGCTCTCCATAAATCTAGGCATTAGTGTTAACACCATTCCTTCTTGAGTCTGAGATATGTTGGTGTTGGACAGTCAGGGAGCTCCCCAGGAGCAGTCAGGAAGAAACAGGCCCTCCTTCCTGTCTCTCCTGAGGGCTCAGGAAAGAGAATTCTTACAAGAGCAGCCAGAATAGGGTTCATTCTGCCACACGACCAGCGCGAGCTTCATAAAAGAAGGTTCGATGCATAAGAAATTGCTAGTGAGTTTTAAATTAAAGAGACAGACTCTCATTTACCTTTAACTCCAGCTCATGAGACGGCTTCTCCTAGCTCCTGCCTCCAGCCACCTAATGCGGTGGCGAGGTTTACAGAAGAGACAAATGAGAGAGGGAGAGCATGCCAGGGATTGAGCTTTTTTTGGGGAACAAAAAATTCAAGCGAAAATCCCATCCAATGAAGGTTAAGGGGGGCAGCATCCCAAGGTCAGGGCTGGCGATTGGGTCTTCAGGTCAGTGGCCAGGCATGCCTCTGCACAGACAAGCCCTCGGACTGTCCAAGCGCCTCTCACCCAGCCTGGGAGGTAACTCATTCACGTGCGAGGATGGCCTCCCACAGTTCATGGCTGCTATGGGCACTTTCTTCTTTCCTCTTAAAAGGATGATGTCATTTCTCCTCTGGTGAAAGCCAAGCCTCTTTGCCCACCATGAGCATCACCCCAGAGGTCAAGAGTCGTGGGATGAAGTTTGCTGAGGAGCAGCTGCTAAAGCATGGATGGACTCAAGGTTATCCCCATGGAGCCTCTTCCATAATCCCCAACTCCCTGCCCACCTTCTGCCTTGGGGAGAGGCCTCCTGGATTACCCACTGTAGTCCTTTAGTTAGAGGAAAAGGTAGTTTAAAGGAAAATTTTACAGAAGAATAAGTTTTCTGATTTATTCAAAAGAGAGAAGAATGAGGAAAATTTGACAGTGGATAACAAGGAAGAAGAAGTGGTTGGGAGGACCCAGGGAGGGAAGGAGGGACCTGGACTCTGTCCCTGAAGAGTCAGGGTAGAAGGTTAGCTTAGGTTTAGACACAGTGGGAATGCATAGAGTGGCACTAGAACGAATGAGACTAGAAGTCCTTCTAAAAGGGATAAAGTATACCCAAATGCTAAGGTGTACAATGGCAAGGAGTGACATGTGTGGAGTGGCTGGTGGCTCAAGGCAGGCTGCAGAATAAGCCAAGTTATTCACTGTTCTCTGCAGGCAAAGGACTAGGCCGGAAGGAAAATGGCATCACCCAGGCCATCAAGGTGACTCTGAAGCAAGATACTCATGGGGTAAGACTGGGCAGGCTGGTCAGCACGGACGAGAGAGGGGACCCTTGAGGGCTTGATGGACAGGTACTCAAGGTTCATACTTATTCCCCTGGCAGGTGGGACATGATCCTGCCAAGGAGTTCACAAACCACTGGTGGAATGAGCTTTTCAACAAGACTGCAGCCAACTTGGTAGTAGAAACTGGGCAGGTATGAGCTCTGATAGGCAGGCACAGGAAATGGAGGGCCTGAGACACGGTGGGAAGGGAACATATGGTATGCCACCTACTCACTTATACCTTCCTGCAGGACGGAGTGCAGATAAGACGCCTTTCCAAGGAGACCACTCATAATCGTCCCAAGCCTAACATGCTGTATCAGAAGTTCGTGAAGGTATTAGAGGCTGGGGTGAGAGGGCCATCCTTTTTGCCTTCCTGGCTTCTCTTGGAGCCTGAGCAATTGCTTTGTGTGCCTTACCAATTATCAGGACCGTCCATAACCTAGTGTGATCCTGTGCTCATCTTTCTGGGTTAACTTAGACTGCCCAAGTTCTTAGTAAGAATGGAGATCTTCAGAGCTGGGTGAGTGGCACATGCCTGTGATCTCAGCAACCTGGGAGGGTGAGGCAGGAGGATCATAAGTTCTAGGCTTGCCCCGGCAACTTAGCAAAACCTATGTCAAAAAACAAAAAGGGCCAGGGAGGTAACCTAGAGTGCGCCTGAATTCAATCCAGTACTAACACACACACATACAAATATTAACAATATAGCGGGGATATAGCTCAGTGGCAGAATGCTTGCCTAGCGTGTGAGAGATGCTGGGTTCAATCCCCAATACTGCAAATATACAGATCTTCAGCTGCATGGATCCCTGCCAGTCACTGGGGGAGGAGTAATAGGGAATGGAGGGTAGGGTCCAGATGGTGGCATCTGTGTCTATTCAAAGGACTTAGAAGGTAAAGGGGACCTAAGAATTTATCTAGTCCATCCTTATTTTGCATATGTGGCTAAATGGGTGAAAAGTAACTTGCCAAAGAGCCCAGTTGGCTAGTAACAGCAAATAGGACCAGAACCCAGGTGTTTGGTCTCTTTTTTTTTTTTTTTAATATTTATTTTTTAGTTGTAGAGTTGTAGTTGGACACAGTACCTTCATTTTATCTGTTTATTTTTGTGTGGTGCTGAGGATTGAACGTAGGGCCTTGCACATGGTAGGCGAGCACTCTACCTCTGAGCCACAACCCCAGCCCTAGTCTACTTTTTTTTTTTTTTTGGCACTGGGGATAGAATTCAGAGGTGCTCTACACTGAGTACATCCCCAGCCTCTTTATTTCTTTTTTGAGACATGGTATTGCTCAGTTGCTTAAAGCCTCACTAAATTGCTGAGGCTGACCTTGAACTTGTGATTCTCCTGCTTCGGCCTCCTGAGTTACTGAAATTACAGGTGCACACCACCACGCCCAGCTGGTTTGATTTTACTGTACCAGTAGAAGGGAGCTAACATTGAATGGCTGTTATGTGCTGAGGGCTTTGCATATTACCTAGCAGATCTTTCCACTCTCTGTTTCTCTCTGTTGTTGTACTACTCCAGTTCATGTCATGGTCACTTCTTTAACAGCCTCCTCACCCCTAGTCTCGCTCCCCACCCCAATCACTTTACCCTCTACAAAACATCCAGGATGTGGGCTCTAGAACAACTTTCAGCATGTCACCAACTCTTCTTGGACTGGGATGGTGCGGTCCAGGTTTATCTGGCTGTGTACATGGCCCTTCATGCCTTGTCCCTGCCTTTTCTCCAGCCCCACGTCTTGCCAGTTCCTCGAGGACAGTTACACTTTAGCCAACTAGAATGTTTCTTTTCTTTGAAGATACTGTGTTCTTCCACCTGCAGGTTTTTGCACGTACTATTCCCTCTGCCAGGCGTATTCTCCTTTTGCTGATTTTCTTGTCTTCTAGACTACTCATCAGTTACTTTTAGAAACCCCTCCCAAGCCCTTAAGTCTGACTTGGGCCCCCCTCTTCTACCAGAGGTAGCATTTCCATCATAATTGCCTATGTTGGACTGTATTTCTTATCCCTTTCCCTATAGCTCCACCTGGGCTGGACCCTTCTCATTTTTATTCAACTTTGTATCCCCAGCTCCTTGGCCCATTGTAGCTTCTCAGTTAATCTAATTAAATGAAGGTGCCGTGAGTCGGTATTGGGTGGGGGTGGGTGGATGCCATCTTTATTGTCAGTTGTTGGCACCTGTTCTGTAACGGTCTGATGACCCAGAGCACTCCCTTCCTGTCTGTTCTGCCCACCAGCCAGCTATGAGCCCAAGGTTGCTTGCTTCCAGCAGCTGCAGTCCACCTTCTGCCAGGTTGAAGTATGCAGGCCCCCGTGCCTGTGGCTCTGCAAGGAGCAAGTTGGGGGCTGGCAAATTCCTGCCTAGGCTATGAATTCCTGGGAGGCTTCCACAAAGGAAGAGGGGTGGTAGTGGTGTTGAGTGGGCCATGTGCATGCACTTCATCCCTCCTAGACGGCCACGCTGACTTCGGGTGGAGAGAAGCCAGACAGAAACTTGGAGAGCAGCAGTGATGACGACAGCCAGGGGCCCAGACCCCCAAAGATGTGAGAGTCCACTTTAGCATGGTGGGCGGGGGTTGGGGAGGGAGAAAGAGCCGAGTCCAGTGCCTGCCTGGGTTTCCTGGGGGTGGAATTGGGTTGTATTAATTAGTATGTCCTTAGCACTTCAGAAAGTGCCAGGTCTTGGGCCTGGGTTGTGGCTCAGAGGTAGAGCACTTGCCTACCATGTGTGGGACACTGGGTTCAATCCTCAGCACTACATAAAAATAACATAGAGATATTGTGTCCACCTATAACTAAAAAGTAAATATTAAAAAAAAAAAGTGCCAGGTCTTGAACAAAAATCTCAGTGTTAAACATTTTAGAGGGAAGGATAGGTCAAGCCTTTCTGCCAATCTGTCTGTAACTCCTCATCTGCCCCCAGCCTGACTGATGAGATGCTGCTCCAGGCCTGCGAGGGGCGAACAGCACACAAGTAAGTAGTAGTCACTTCTGGGCTCCCTTCCTTTCTGCCTATCAAGCCTATGCTATCTTTTGATTATTTCTACCCCAAAGAAATAATTCTTGCTGTCTACCCATATGCTGCCTGAAAATAGGTAGTTCTCTGTCCCCAAGCCCCAACTTTCCCTGCAGGCCTAAGGATAGGCCCAACTCCCAATACCCTTGCTGACACTGTCTGTTTCAGGGCTGCACGTCTTGGGATCACAATGAAGGCCAAGCTTGCTCGGCTAGAGGCCCAGGAGCAGGCCTTCCTGGCTCATCTTAAAGGCCAGGTCTCTGAGGCCTCTCAGCCACAGTCTGAAAGCCAGCCTCCTAACCCCCCCAAAAAGAAAAGGAAACAGAAAGAGCCTAGAGCAACTGAGCAGAGTGTGGATGAGGAGCACCCAGAACACACTGAGCACAGCACCAGGAAAAGCAAAAAGAAGAAAAGACGACATCAAGAAGAAGAGGTCTCAGATGAGAGAGGGAGTGGAGAGGACGAGGCCGCGGGGCCCAGTGGGCTCGAAGAACCCGGGAGCAGAGAGCAAGCCCGTCAGTCTCTTAAGAAAAGGAAGAAGAAGAAGAGGCAGCACCGTGAAGGGGAGGAGGGGGAGGAAGAGACGGGGGTGTTGGGTGGAGAAGGAAGAGGGAAGGATCCTGCAAGTGGTGTCGGGAGAAAGGAGGTGACGAGCAGAGCGCACAGGGACCCCTGCCGCAGAGACAAGAAAAAGAAAAAGCAGCGGTGGCATAAGGAGGACTTGAGCGTGGCTGATGGGGATGGGGAGGAGACTGCTCCAGAGGGTGCAGCCAGGGAAGCAGGAAGCTCGCCCTGCGGTAACAGAAGCAAGAAGAAGAGACAGCAGTGCAGGAAAGAGGAGGAGGTCTCAGAGGTAAGCTGTGAGGGTGACAATGACAGGACTGAGGAAATAGAGAACAGAGGTAAGAAGAGGAGGCGGCAACAACTCAGGGAGGAGAGAAGGCGAGTCAGCACTGACCAGAGCACCACAAAGAAGAAACAGAAGAAGAGAGACTGAAGGCCTCTCAAGCTGGAGTCAGTTCCTTTTCAGTTGTAGCCTCCGAGACCATGGTCAGCATCCTACAGGAGGAACCCCTCCCAAAGAGGAAACTGAGCTCAGGGACAACAGTCTCCTGCTGGAGACAAGTGCTGCGTCTTAGTCAAGGGAGTGGACGTGGTCTCTCCTACTCTCCCTGCAGCCTCCAACCCAGAGACATGAACTCAAGTGCCTCCTGGAGCCAGGCAGCTAAGGAACAAGGTAGACAGGGGCAGTGGGAACAGGAATATAGACAGGCGCATCCCTACCAAAATACGCCAAAATGCAGACTTATGGGAAAGGTCTTGGCTTTTAAATATCATGAAGGCTAAGAAAAACACAAATTTGGGGTTATGGGCTATATTCAGCTCATAGGTTGCTTGTTTCTAACACTATACCAATTGACTATAAATAAATATGAACTTGAGCTCCCAGCCTACAGGTACATACAAATTGGCATCTTTAATTCCAGCTTTGGAAGGTCCTGAATACAAGGTGTGGTACACACAACTAGAATCCCAGTTGAGGCAGAAGGATCACAAGTTCAAGTTGGACCCTTTCTCAAACTAAAAACGGGTGGGGATCTGATCAGTAGTAGAATGCTTGTGTAGCATGTTAGAGGCTTTGGGTTCAATCCCCAGTACCACAAAAAAGAAAAAGAAATTTCCTTGAAGTCTTTTGAAGAAATTCCTTCTGTTAACCTCCTGGAGTCTTGCTACATTAATGTAAATGGAAGTAGCTTAAAGACAGCATTCAGCTCGCTGTCTCAAATGGATAAGTGTCACTTGTGTATGAAAAACAGCACATCTGACTTGACAGCTAGTTAATTATCATTTTTTTCTAAATGCCACATGACCTCTCTTGCCTGTTCTGTTCCCCCAGAGGCAATACCACCACCCATTAATCTTTACATCCAGAAGAGCTCCCAGGACAACAGTTCTGGGAAAGGCACTAAGTCTTTATTGAGGAGAATTCCCACCCACCTGCCTCACTGCAGGCGGTAGACGCATTCAGTGTCCGGGTAGGATGGCAGGTTCAGCTGATACTTCTTTTCCAGAGCAGGTGGTACAAAACGACCTCCCAAGTAATGGTAGCGACCAGTGAACTGGGTAGCAGACTTTTTAGGTGCTGTCAGAGAGATGAGCAAGTCTGGCTGGATCCCTCCAGAGTTTCCCTTCTCCACATCCCATCCTGAAAAGAGGGTGATGCTCAGAAGTGTGGAAGAGGCCATAGGTCTAGTCCCCTTCTTCACTTCACTTTACCCTAGTCTTTTTTTTTTTTAATTTAGTTGTAATTGGACACAATACCTTTATTTATTTTTATGTGGTGCTGAGGATCAAACCCAGGACCTCGCACACGCTAGGCTAGTGCTCCACCGGTGAGCTCCAGCCCCAGCCCGATTTACCCTAGTCTTAAGGACTGGGATGCCCCTTCAGTCCTTGCTGGAGGAACTGTCACCATAGGAGCTCCAGATACCTCTGGGCTTTGTTTTCTTCATGGGGCCAGCATGTGAACTCCTCCTCAGCCCTAAAAAATGTGGGACCTGGAAAGCTGTGTTCAACCCCTCTATACTCGTCATTTTAGACCTGGTTGGAGCTCTGGCTCAACAATCAGGATTCCAAGGTACCTGCTTTGCGACAGAGGGTAGAGCCCCAATTCCCCCAACCTTCTGGGTCCCAGCACCTGAGGGAATGTCGATGCTGGCAATCGGCACAGTGAGTCCACTGAGGACACTCAGGATGCTGCGGAATGGCTCCCGAACATCACCCTTGAAGCTGAAGCCAAAGATGGCATCCACCACCAACTCGTACAGCTCATCAATCATCATGGGCTGTGGTGGAGCAGGAAAAGGCAAGGATGTCAGACCAGCAGCCTTAACTGGGGAGGGTTAACTGGGGAGGGCTATCTTCTGTACCCTCAGAGCACTCAGAGGCACAGAAACTATCTCACTCAAAGCCATCTTTTTTTTTTTTTTCTTGGCACTAGGAATTGAACCTTGGGGTGCTTTAACATTGAGCTACCTCTCCAGCCCTATTTATTTATATCAGATATTGAAACCAGGGGCATTTAACTACTGAGCCACATTCCCCAGTCCTTTCACTTATTTATAAATATATTTTTTTAATTGTAGGTGGACACAATTCCTTTATTTTTATGTGGTGCTGAGGATCAAACCCAGTGCCTGACACATGCCAGGCGAGCCCCCCAGGCCCAGTCCCTTTTTTATTTTTTGAGACAGGGTCTCACCAAGTTGCATAGGACCCTTGCTAAATTGCTGAGGCTGGCTTTGAACTTGGGATCCTCCTGCCTTATTATTCCAAGCCACTGGAATTACAGGCATTTGCCACAATGCCCTGCTTGTTTATTTTAATTTTTTTTTGGAGGGGGGGGGTACCAGGGATTGAACTCAGGGCACTTGACCACTGAGCCACATCCCCAGCCCTATTTGGTATTTTATTTAGAGACAGGGTCTCACTTGAGTTGCTTAGTGCCTCACCATTGCTGAGTCTGGCTTTGAACTCGCAATCCTCCTGTCTTAGCCTCCCAAGGTGCTGGGATTATAGGAGTGCACCAACAAAGGGCATACTAGAGAAAGGGGGGCATGGCCGCGGATTCAGGCCAAGCTGAGTTCACACACATTTTCTGTTCTGAGTGCTTGCCACTGGAGAGGCTACAGTGCAGAAGAGCCCAGGACAGAATCAGGAGGGCTCAATTTCTGGTCTCAGCTCTGCCATGATTCAATTCTGTGATTTTGGCAAACCACTTAACTGCAACTCTGTATCCTTGTCTGCAAAATGTGTTAAAGAGTTTTTCTAATAAAAAACTCATGCATCTGCAGAAAAGATTTAGAGTGAGGCAGTTACTCCAGCTAGAGAGGGACAAATCATGTTTACAGCATGCGAGGGGAAGAGGATCTGACTACAGAGGGACTGGGGAAGAAAGCTGTAAAAAGTGGTGGCATTGGGGACTCATATGAGAACATCTTGTGGAGGAGGAGGGGCTACCACTTCTATTCAAATAGCATCCTTTAGGCATCTTCTGTGCTGGGACTGGGTAAGTGAGCTCCGCCTGGAAATGGGCAGAAAGCAGAGCCTGGAGTGGTTACTGGGGAGATGGGCTATTGAATGAAGCCACCTACCTCTGGGGGCATTTCACCAAGGAAAGGGATGTCCATTTTCTGGCACTGAGTCACCAGTGCAGTGAAGAGTGGTTTGTTGGGCCTTTTGGGGTAATAGATGGTTGGCTGGTAACCCTAAATGCAAAGGGAAGTGGCAATTTAACTTCAGATCCCAGAACCCTAAAGCCCTCCCCCAGGGCTCCTCCCCACATACTCACAAAGAGTTTGAGATGTCTAGCGCAGACCAAACCATCTCCTCCGTTATTGCCGGGGCCACAGATGACCAGGACAGTAGGGGGGTTCCTGGCCATGGACGAGGAGGGATATGCCTGAAGGCAGAGTCAAAGGGTTTTCAGGCAGTAACAGACCAGTTGGGCCAGCTCCTATACTTTATGCTCAGGAGTGTGGCCACCTCCTTGCTCCTCCCGGAGATCGCGGGTTGTGCCACTGACCTTGGCAATGGCCGTGGCGCAGCTCAGCCCAGCCAGCTCCATAAGTTGGTCCACGCTGAACTGGTACTCGTTGAACAACTCCTGGTCCACGGCCTGGGCCTCCTCCTGGCTGGGGGAAGCGCTAACCTGAGATCCTGCCCTCGGGTGTCACGAGGCGCCGGGCCCGAGGACAGCCGTCCACCGCGTGCCCGCCCCCGGCCTCGCCTACCTCAGGTACTTTACCGCGGTGCTCGCCATGGCCTCTGAGTCCCGGGGCCCACCCACGCTCAGCCGCTGCGTTCCCCACCACGTGGGGCCCGCGCGGCAGGCGCCGGCCTGACTTCTGACTCGAGGCAGGCGTGAGCCGGCAACCAGCAGCCCGAAGCCCAGCAGCGCCCGCAGCCCAGACATCAGCTCGCAGGCGCGCGCCTCCGGCCCGGCCCAGTTCCGGCGCATGCGCGGCGCTCCTCCCACCCGAGGCCGGGCCGCCGCGCAGGCTCCGGAAGCGCCTTAGCGGCGGGCGGCGGGCGGCGCGCGGAGCTTTGTGCTCCGGCCGCTCGATTCGGGTCCGCCCCGCCCGAGGCCGGCCTCCCGTGCGCCCTCTGTGACGGCCGGAGCCCAGCCCTTCCCGAGAGCGTGGACTCGTCTCCTACTCGTAGACGTACTGAAGGCCTCGGGGAGTGACCCGCGATTCTCCAGCTCTGCCTGGCTGTGAGCGCGGCGGCCGCTGGACCTGCTGGGGGGACTTGGGCCTCCTGGTGGCGGGGCCGCAGACACACACCGGGGAAGGGAGGGCCTGCATCCAAAGCCAGGCGAGGGCCCTCCGGGACTGCCCGACACGACAAGAAGCTCATGTTCATATTTACCTAATCTAGGAACCCCCTCAGAGGTGGGTTAGTTCCCACCTCGGTTCCTACCAGAACATCACGCCGTTCTTCTCTACTATAAATCCTAAATAGGTTAAAGGTGTCATTGAAACCAGAGGTTCCCAGGTCACGCGATGTTCCATTAGGAACCTTGAGGAGAATAAATTTTATGCAAGTACTTTTATTTACTTACTTGCAATACTAGGGATTGAACCCTGGGCCTCGCACATACTGGACACCCTACCACTGAGCTTATATCCTCAACCCTTTATTTATTTTTTTCTTAATTTCATTTTCAGATAGGGTCTCGCTGAATTGCCCAAGTTGGTCTTTTGTAATCCTCCTGTCTCAGCCTCCGGAGTAGCTGGTGTTACAGGTGCACATTGGCTATCCAAGTACTTTATTTTGGGGGGGATTGAACCCAGTGGCACTTAACCTCTGAACCACATTCCTAGCCCGTTTTGTTTTTAACTTAGAGACAGGGTAGCGTCTCTTAGTTGCTCAGGGCTTTGAACTTGTGATCTTCCTACCTCAGCCTCCTGAGTTGCTGGGATTACAGGCATGCACCACCACACCCTGCTATTCGAGTGCTTTTGAGAATGCAAACAGTGCTGCATGGGTAAGAAGCTGGGGAGTGTACTCCCTGTGAATTCGTTCGGGGTACACCAAAAAGCCTCGAAGGGTGACAGAATATGCCATCTCAAGATATGCCACTTTGGCATAAGGATTATTTTGAATTAAAGTCACCGGAAAAACAGTAAGAATAGAAGGCATTCCTACCTCCCCTTTTCTTCTTGTACCACGGATCGAACCTAGTGGTGCTTTACCACTGAGCTACATCCCCGCCCCCCCACCCTTTTTTTTGAGACAGGGCATTGCTGGGATTACAGGCATGCATCACTGCCTGCAGCTCTCCTTTCCTTCTTTTTTTTTTTTTTAAATATTTTTTTAGTTGTATGTAGACACAACACCTTTATTTTATTTATTTATATGTGGTGCTGAGGATTGAACCCAGGGCCTCTCATGTGTTAGGCAAGCGCTGTACGGCTGAGCCACAACCCCAGCCCTCTCCTTTCCTTCTTGAAAGCAGGAGAAATAAGATTCTCATGTGAAAGACATGCTGCCTGTACTAGGAGGAAAGAAATATTCTTATTCCTGAAGACGGAGAACAGAGGTTAAGAACTCTGTACAAACTCTGTTAAAATTCGACAGTGTTATCTTCCTCTAGCCTCCATATATATTTTAGTTGATTTTCCACAATTTCTTCCCTTTTGTCAACCTAAAACATTTAGGTTTTGCTTTTTTGAGTTGTTCCTTTTGTTATGATATGAGGGGCCCTGGTCACAAAATTTATATTAAATATATTTGTATGTGTTTCTCTTTAATCTGTTTTACATCAACTTAATTCTCAGGCACAGTCAGAGCCTCCAAGGAGAGTAGAGGTTAAATTTTGCCTCTCCTACACCCTCTTATCAAATATGATCAGGATTGAATTATCTCATTTCAGCTTAAAACACAAAACACATTCATTTGCTTCTTGTCAAACTGGGACCCAAGTCTTTTCTCTGAGGTTAGGGCCCCCTTTTTTCTTACATAAACCTCACCAGTTACTTATTACCTGCAATTTCCAGTTTTCTTCCTTAAAATGAATCAATTAATGGGCATGTCTGAAGCAATCCAAATGCAGAATTCATCTAGAATCTTGTGATTTCCTCCCAATTTGTAATAATTTCCTTGTTCAAGTCTAATTCAACAGCAGCTTTTAAAAGTGACTCACCTTAATCAGGTCTTTTAAGGATCCAACTTAGATTTGGAGAAACACTGCTTGTTTTCACACTTAGTTCATCAATTTATACAATATTTAACTAAGTTATATATTATAATAAAACAACCATCATGAGCACATTGGAATAAATCACTGGCTGGTGATGTGGCTCAGTGGTAGAGCGCTTACTTAGGATGTACAGTCCCAATCCCTAGTACTGCATGCATAAATAAACAAATAAAATAAATCACACCAGACAGCAAGCACCTAAGTTTGAATCCTGCCTTCTCCACATACGGCTTGTGTGACCTGGAAATTCCCCTTTGAGATTTCTTTTTCCTATCCGTGAAAGGGGATAACAATAGCACCTCATAAATTTTGTTGTAAGGAGAAAACACTAGTAAAGCACTTAGTATATGGGACATGTGCTAAGTACTCAATAAATGTTAATAATGTCATTGCTAGCCGGGCACAGTGGCACACACCTGCAACCCTAGTGGCTCGGGAGGCTGAGGCAGGAGGGTCACAAGTTCAGAGCCAGCCTCAGCAACCAGGAGGCACTAAGCAACTCAGTGAAACCCTGTCTCTAAATAAAATACAAAATAGGGCTGAGGATGTGTCTCAGTGGTCAAATGTCCCCGAGTTCAATCCCCAATGACCCCAAATAAATAGTGTCATTGCTATTGCCCTGGCTGGCAGCTGGCCTTGTCCTACAGGCTGTGGGCCTGAGAAAGCAGTGAACAGAGGTCTGGGTCGGTTAGTGTAAGGTCTTCTGTAGCATTACATCTCCATTTCCCATCTGAGAAAAGAAGGTCTGCAGAAAGTCAGTGACTTCAAAACCACCTGACCAAGAAGTCAGAGTTTTATTGGTTGATTGTTCCTGTGTTGAGCCCACGGGTGCTTTACTACTGAGCTATATCCACAGCCCTTTTTAGTTTCTATTTTGAGACAGTTTCACCATGTTACCCAGGCTGGCCTTGAACTTGTTATCTTCTTGCCTCAACCTCCCAAGTCTCTGGGATTACAGGCGTGTGCTGCTGTACCTAGCAAGAAGTCATAGTTTTTAGAACTGGCAAGGGCTTTAGCAATCATGAGGTCTGGACTCAGAAGGAAAAAAAAAAAAGCAGGGTAGGAGTTCACTATCCATTTTCTTTTTTCTTTTGCCTTTTGAGTCCAAAAATTCCAATTAGGAGCAAAGAGAATCTCTTGGAGCTGGGACTGCAGAGCCCTTAGCCCACCTGCTCAGGAGTCCACTCAGTGACTGTGTTGTTCTATTTCCGTACAGGGTTGAATGATTTGGGAAGAGGCTCAGTCCCCAGAAGTCTATGAAGTGTGTGTGTTGGGGAGTCCTGCAGAGGTGAGGGCTACAGCGAGCAGGGTGCAGGTCACATGATTATGCAGAAGCCAGACTGGGTGACTCTCCTCTGAGGGTTCTTGGGGAGGGCTTCCCTGGGCCGCCTGGCTGACCTAAAGGAGGGAAGGAGGGGTTGGCCAGTGGCATCAGCGAGGGAGAAGAGCAGGGGGCCTGCCCTGGCTCCAGCTCCCTAGGCCCTCACTGGCCTCCACTGGTGGGCTCCAGTGGAGGAAGCAGGAGGCTTAAACTTCATGTTCCCCACTTCTGTAGAGATCTCTCTCTCTCTCTCTCTCTCTCTCATTCCCATAGTCAGGCCATGCAGGAGGCAGGGAGACCCTGGGCTCCAGAGCTGGGTGAGGGTTGTTCAGATTGCTGAAGTAAGACAAACATTCAGGGCCCCCTATCCCAGGCACCAGATCATTTCTTTTCCCAGCTATGACAGTGGTCATGTTCCATCAAATATCATCCCAAGCCACACACATCTTCTGCTTCCTTCATCCATTCTTCTCCCCTCCTCCAGGACTCACCTATTGGCTTGGGAGCCATTGGGTATCAGGATACCAGAGTGCTCTCTAGGGGCACCCAAACCTCCAAATGGAAGATGGGTCCTGGGTCCTGGACCTAGAATGGAGAGGGTCAGACATTCACCACAAGCCTCTTCACATCAAGGAACATCATGGTGGGAAAGAGAAAGCTCTGGGGGAGGAACAAGGAGGCTGGATATCAGAAAATGCATTGGTCCTGGTACAGGGAGGGTGTACCAAAGACTGTGCCCTCAGCTGGGCATGTCTGTAATCCTAGTGACTTGGGAGGTTGAGGCAAGAAGTTTCCAAATTTGAGGCCAGATTGAGCGACTTAGTGAAACCCTGTCTCAAAAATAAAAATAAATTTTAAAAAGGGGGGTGCTGGGGAGGGGGATGTAGCTCAGTGGCAGAATACGCTTGGGTAATCCTCAGTACAAAAAAAAAGAAGCAGCCAGTGTGATGGAAAATGCCTATAATCCCAGCAGTTTGGGAGGCCAAGACAGGAAGATGGCAAGTTCAAAGCCAGCCTCAGCAACTTAGCAAGGCCCTCAGCAACTTAGCAGGACCCTGTCTCAAAAAATAAAAAGCGGGGCTGGGGTTGTGTCTCAGCGGTAGAGCACTCGCCTAGCACATGCAAGGCACTGGGTTCGATCCTCAGCACTACATAAAAATAAATAAATAAAATAAAGGTATTGTGTCCAACTACAACTAAAAAAAAATATTAAAATAAATAAAATAAAAAGGGCTGGGGATATTGCTTAGTAGTAAAGCATCCCTGGGTTCAATCCCAGATTAAAAAAAAAAAAAAAGACTACGCCCTCTCTCTACAGGGGCACATGGGCTAACTTAAAGCTGGTAGTCAGTACACTTTGCTGTGCTTGGGGGAGCTCAGCAAGTAACAAGGAACTTGGATCCCAGAGTTGGGAGCCTTTGAGGAACATTCTAGTGAAGATTAAGCTAGGGTCAGAAAAACACCCAGCCTAGTACCTGGCAGGTAGCAGGCTCTCAACAAACCTTGGTGCTCTGAGATGTAAACTTCTAGAGGTTAGGAAAGCCCCAAGTATGGAGGGAGAGACCAATCTGGAAAGGGCTAGGGTTGGGGTGGAGTTGGGGTGTGGAGGAACAGGCCAGGGCCTTGAGAGGGAGGCAGAAGTGTGGGGAGGACTCTTCCAGGGGTTGGCAATCTGGAGAGCTGGATCTGGGTGACTCAAGGACAGATGGAAGGCTGGAGGACCAGGAAAGTAAGCTGAGGTGAGACGGGGGGACCACCTACTTGACTCACCCTCTAGTTTCTGAGGCACAGATGTGGGAACATTCACCAATCCCTCCTCTCCTTTCTCCTCCTGGCCCTCCTCAAATTCTTTATCTTCCCATCTACCAGACAGTCTGCAGGGGCAGGTGAACGAGGTGTGCAGGGGCAGAGGAGGTCCCACCCCTGCCACACCTCTCAACACCCCAGTCTCTGACCCAAGCTGCCTCACCTGTGCTGGGCATCTGCTGTACTGCTCTGTACCCTGGTTGAGGTCCCTGCCACTTGGCTGATGCTGCCTGGAGCCTGGGGTCTTCCTGGTGCTGGGGTCTGGGAAGAAGGAGGAGTCCAAAGAATTGATTTAAGAAAAACCCCTCCCCACTGCATATGCATATGTGAGTGTGTGTTCCCTTCACCTGCCTGCAGGGAGACATCATGGCCGCAGAGAGACGGTCTCACCTAATAGAGACACCCCAGGTGTGCCCACATTACTGGGAATAAAATTCCAGGATAAAGTTCTTTATTCCATTAAGTTCCCCAGTAACAACTTTCAAGTTAGAACTCAGGCTCACGGACCTGGCCAGAGCCTGACTACCGCCCCATCCTGCCTAGGGCCTCACCTAGTATAACCACAGAGTTAGTGGCAGATTTCAGGTAGGGCCCAGGTCTTCTGGCCACAAATCCAATCTCCTGACTGAGCCAGGCTAATATTTTTTTCAGAACTATTTTCATTTTTCCCATATTTTCTTACTGGTGCACTATAATTATACAAAATAGTGGGATTCATTGTTACATATTTACACACAAAATATAACAATTCAATTTGTCCCAGGGTTCCCTAGTATCTCCCCACCCCCATTCTAGTCCCTTTCCTCCAGTCTACTGGTCCCCCTTCTATTTCCAGGAGATTCCCCCCCAACACACAACACTTTTCCTCCCTTTTTTCCCCATAACTTCTACATATGAGAGAACACATATGACCCTTGACCTTCTGAGTTTGGCTTATTTCACTTAACACAATGCTCTCAAGTTCCTCTATTTTCCTGCAAATGATATAATTTCCTTCTTCTTTATGGCTGAATAAAACTCTACTATGTATATATCCCACATTTTCTTTATCCAGTCATCCATTGACAAGACACCTAGGCTGGTTCCATAATTTGGCTATTGTGAATTGTGCTGCTATAAACGTGGGTATGCATGGATCACCAGGGCATGCTGACTTTAATTCTTTAGGATAAATACCAAGCAATGGTATAGCTGGGTCATTTGGTGGTTCCATTCCTAGTTATTTGAGGAAATCCCATACTGATTCCCACATGGTTGAACTGATTTACAATCCCACTAACAGTATAAAAGTGTTCCTTTTCTCCCCACATCCTCTTATTTTTGCATATCCCCCCCCC